ATTGATGTTAGCAAGCTGGTTGCAACTTCTGTTGCTGGTAAGTATCGAACCGAGCTAGCTTCTAGGCTAGCTACCATTCCACCGAAAAGTATAGATGAGCATTGCTTGCAATTGCATGACGCCATGAAAATGGCGAGTAAAGTTAGTTGTGGGTTCACGAAACGTCCCGCTTACAAGCACTGGGTTTCTTCTGGTTCCTTACAACTCATTGAAGCTTGTCGGTCTACCCCGGGTGACCGTGAGTTTGACCACAAACGAAGGATGTTACGTACTGAAATCGGGCAAAGTTTGTGTAAGAACTGAGAAGCGTGGTGGTCAGAGAGTGCTAATGAGTCGGAAGCAGCAGCTGCATCCGACTATTGCTGGAAGCTCTTCCAACTCATCCAAGCCACTGGCAGCAAGAAGTCTGGTGTGAGCGAAACAATCTGCGAGGATGACGGAACGCCAATCACTAACATCCATCGACGTCTTGGACGATGGGCAGAATTTTTCGAAGGGCAGTTCAACTGGCCTACTGCTCCGGCAACATCGGCCAGACTGTCCTGCCCTCCATGGCCGGTGACGACTGATCCACCAAATGAGGCGGAAGTCCACAAGGAACTCCAACTCTTGAAACGCTACAAATCACCGGGCCCAGACGACTTACCTCCGGTTCTTTTTAAAGATGGTGGTGACTTTCTGACTAAGGGACTGACGACGTTGTTTACGAAGGTTCGGGAACTAGAAAGTGTACCAACGTCATGGAATGAGTCGATAGTTGTCCCTATCTTCAAAAAGGGTTCACGTCGTTCCTGTATCAACTATCGGGGGATAAGTCTACTTCCGATTGCGTCCAAGCTATTGGCTTTCGTTATACTTCGTAGGTTGTTCAAAACTCCAGAAGGATTGACTCACGAGGAGCAGGCTGGGTTTCGTTCTGGTCGAGGATGTATTGATCACATCTTCACCCTCCGCCAAATGTTAGAACACCGCCATACTTATCAAAGGCTAACAATCGTAGTGTTTCTTGACATCACGGCTGCCTTCGATCCGTTGGATAGGACTGTTTTCTGGGATTGTCTATTGAAGAAGGGTGTGCCTGAGAAGTTTATTAACATCCTAAAAGCCCTATACACAAACACCTCAGGCAGAGTGAGGGCACACAACAACCTCTCTCCATTGTTCCATTCAAGCAGTGGTGTTAGACAGGGTTGCTCAATCTCACCATTCCTCTTCAGCTTTGCCATCGATGACATTCTGGAAACAGCTCTGATGGATGTAAGTAGTGGCGGTGTAGATCTGTTGCCTGGAGAAAGACTTCTCGACCTTGAGTATGTGGATGATATTGCCCTACTGTGCGATAATGCCCAAGCCACGCAATCCGCACTTAATCAATTGGCAATCAGTGTCCGTAGGTACGGTATGTGCTTTGCACCTTCGAAGTGCAAAGTACTTCTACAAGACTGGAAGAATTCTAATCCTGTAATCACCCTGGATGGTGAGCAGATAGAAGTAGTCGAGAAGTTCGTGTATCTGGGTAGCTGCATAAGTGCTGGTGGTGGCGTGAGTGATGAGATCAATGAACGTAGTGAAAGACAGAGCGGCTTATGCCAATCTGGGCCATCTTTGGCGCCTTCGTGATGGTAGTCTGGCGTCAGTGAGAGCAGTTCTCCTCTATGCTTGTGAAACCTGGCCTCTACGAGTCGAGGATGTTAGACGACTCTCTGTGTTCGATCGTCGTTGTCTCCGAAGGATTGCTGACATCCAGTGGCAACACTATATTAGTAATGCAGAGGTTCGGCATCGTGTGTTTGGGCACATAGAAGACAATCCAATTGGTGTCACCATCTTGAAACACCGACTTCGGTGGCTTGGACATGTTGTACGAATGTCGTCCCAGAGAATTCCATGTCGTGCATTATTTGCCAACTCTGGGACTGGTTGGAAAAAGCGGAGAGGTGGTCAGTGTATGACATGGTGTCGTGGTATAAAAGAAAGCTGCAAAGGGTTGGCTTGTGTTGGACCTTCACGACTCCCTGGTTGGAGTCCGAGAGATGGTGTAACACAGTGGCCAGAAACGGTATCCAATATGGCTCAGAATAGAAGCCAGTGGCGATCCTGCTGTAACCTTCTTTTACTTTCTTCGTTAAAAGCGGTTGCTTCTTCCCTAACTGAAAGATTTCTTTTGATTGTACCTTTTCGTTTCCCCCATTATTACTACTATTACACTACCTTACACTAATCTGTTAGTTATTGTTCTTTTTTACGCCACTTACCCTCCTTTCTTTTTTCCCCTTCTCTTTAAATTCTCATTGTTTTGTGTTGCGCATATATATTTGGTGCCCCCTTATGTGTTCAAATAATAATAATAATAATAATAATAATAATAATAATAATAATAATAATAATAATATAATGATAATAATAATAATAACAATACAAGTCGACAACTCCGCCTATCTTAGAAATCTGATCAGCCCTAGTGGGTTGGTGTCTGACGAAATCTCATCACGGATTCAGAAAGGTCGTTCGGCTTATGCCAACTTAAGTCACCTATGGCGAAGGCGAGATATCCGTTTATCAATTAAGGGACGAGTACACAGCACAGCAGTTTGCTCTATTTTACTTTGTGGCTGCGAGACGTGGTCATTAGGGATAAAGGATACTCGTAAGTTACTAGTATTTGATTCCAGATGTTTGAGAAAGATTTCCAACAGTGTTGGGATCACCGGGTAATTAATAGTGAGTTTAGACTCAGAGTATTTGGGAATGATGGTAAATCAATTGATGAGTTTGTGAATCTTAATCGACTGAGCTGGTTTGGCCTCATATTACGCATGCCTAACCACCAACCATCACGTTGCGCAATGCTGACAAGTGTTGGAGACGGTTGGAAGAAGGTTAGGGGTGGCCAAACCAAAACGTGGCATCAGTTCTTGGAGTCACTAGCTTCCCGTCTAAGTCATTTTCGTATATGCAGACTACTTGCTCGAGGTCCGTGTGACTATCGTAACCAATGGTTGGAGACTAGGTGACGTGGCTCAGAATCGATCACAATGGCGTCGGTGTATACACTCTCTGTCTTCCCTTAATATATTACTATCACTGAAGTAACTACTTCTATGAATTTGGTGATCATCTTGTTGTTCTAATGAGTGGCAACTTCGACCGATGCATGTATGTGCCTGGTCCTACGTTGTAGCTGACTGACTGGGTTACCCCAGACACTTACAGGTACATGCTTCTAATTCGTTTTGTATCTTTTATGGAAATCGTACCAGGACTAATATCATTAGTACGAAATGAATTTCACGAATTTCTGACCAGACAATCATGTGGGAGCCAAATGTGTGACTGTAGTAATATCAATTACTTTATATTTATTTATACTGCTTGTTCGTTTTTACGCATGACCTTGCTAGCCACTTTCCACTAATGCTAAGATGAGTATTTATACTAACATTTTGTGGAAGTACATTTCCTATACATGCATGTGTCTGCATGTATATTTATTGCACTGTGCATATGACTCTATAAATGTAGATAAAATAATTTAATTACTTAGTGTGCAACCAACCCTAACTATTTATTTATTTAGACTCGTATGTCTGCTACTCATATGCATACTAGGGATATATGTACCCTTCACAGATTTCGTATTTCAACTTTTGGAAATGGCGTTATCATGAACGGAATCCAGTCCAGTAATATACACGAAATTAATCTTGGTATCTATGTAAATAACGAACGCTGAATAATAAAACTAATAAAGTTAGATAAGACTGTTAAAACCCATTCAACTAGCTATTACATTGCTACTAGTCAAACTCCGGTAGTAGTCATATTACTATAAAAAGAACCTTAGTATAAGTAAAATCGTAGCAACACCCGTCCCTATTAACACACTTCGACTGCATGTGACAGACAATCCTAAACACTACGTTAAGAGGTGATACATAAATGTGAAAAAGTAATTATCATGTAGAAACACCTAAATCATTTGACAGCTAACGTATCCCAATTATTCAGTTAACATTAACAACATAATGACACGACAAAAACTATACCGAATTCCCGATAAATCCTCTGGCAGTTTTTCGAATACTAAATAACGGGAAACCTGAAAATAGAACTTTTGAACGCCACATATGTCACATACTTATAGCACGATATTTTAACCACCAACTTATGAATGGCTAGGGATGCAGACATTAACACGACTTCGCTAATGTTCTACGCAAAAAGAATAATTTCTCGTCGGTTATCAAGATCATGAGAAAGCTACAGCGATAAAATTTATTTAAACACATAAACATTGGCACAAGGATGCACTAAATAAATCATCCGATCTGTGTGAAGTTTGGAATACTGCCCAGGTGCCCAAACCGAGACAGGAGGTTTTCTTAGGGGGCTACACCCGCAGCCTTCGACTCAAAAGTCTGATCCACAAGGCAGTGGAGCAATGTCAGGAGATGCAGTTTCATGGTAGCCGGTGACCAAGAAATTGGTTCATACGCCACTTGTTCCTTCAGGATACTGGAGCCCGTATGCATCATTGGTTTGAAATTACGGTTTTCCAACTCCCCTAGGTAGACTCTCTGTGTCTACCAACCCGGTTAAGGCGCCGGACATTCGCTTTTCGTCCTCTCAATTTCGTAAACAACACCCTCGCCGTGAGAAGGCAGTGAGTAGGACTTCTCTGGTAGTGGTTGTATGCACGTGGCCATGTGATAGCATCTCGAGAGGGAGAGCTGACTCTCCCCACTCTCGGACGTACCAGGGCATTTAGGGGCGATAAAATGGAAACACTTTATGGAACTAAGATAATAAAAATATAGCGATGAAGCACATGAAACTAATGAAAAGTTATGTAGAAAGGGAAGAAAGCAGCAGAGATGAATGAGGGGTAGATCTATGCTATAGCTGTAATTTTAGGCATAGAATGTAAAAATAATCAGTCCTTTGAACGTTGACAATTTCTACAACACTAACAGGCAATCAAAATGAAGAAATCACTTTTTATCAAAATAGTCTCTATTTATGAAGATGCAGTGAAATACTCAACAACAAAAAATATACAGTCGATTAATGAAACTAATCGTTGTCTAGTGCATGGAGTTGTTTGACCCAAGATAAAAGTAAATGACTGAGCGACGTATTTTCACCATGATAAACGCTGTTTGGTCCAGAAGAGTTTGTCTCTGAGAGTTCTTGACTAACAGTGCTCTGCAGAATAGGAACCTCAAGACACAAGATAGAGTTTAGGTCGTCCCGACACTTTATTTTTAATTGCTTATAAAAATGAGCTTTTTGATACATATCTCCAATCATTTGACTTAGAAGCGATGAAATTTCCGTCATACATAATCTGCGTAAAATAGACTTAGTAGCTGATTTGTTTGAATTATTCTCGGATGTCTCATTAAAATTTAAGAGCGAACGTACATTAGGAATGTACTGCGAATCAGCATCACATTTTACTGGAGTCTCTGAAGATGAAGTCTTACAAGACGATATGCCATAAGTCATGCTATAGGGGTTATGATTACGGTCACAATAATTTTCTTCTTTAAAATAATTTCCTTGATGATTAAGAGAACATGTGGCATCTTGATGTCCGTCGACTGATTTGGGGGCATATAGGTTTGCTTTTTCCAACATTTTCAAATGCTTTTTACCGGTCTCATGCCGAATTAAATCAAAAGGAGTCATGTAGGTCTGACAAACATTGCAATAAGCCTTATTGGTAAGTTTTCTATTGAGTGGCGCCTTAATATTACATACTTTATCAGATGAGGATGCTTCTAACAAAACATTGGAAGGCTGATTTGTAGATGGTTTGCCAGAGTGATTGCTTATTTTAGACACACTTTCAACAGATTTTTGGATGTTATTTTTGTCATTACTGAAATCAGCAGTTGAAGTTCTACACGGATTGTGACAGTCTTCCTCGTAAACATGTTTCCAATAGCTATCCTGGTCACAAAAAATAATTTTGCAAACAAAACACTCAACAACATCTGACATTTTGAGTCAACCTAAAAGAGAATAGTGAAAAAAAAATAATGAGGGGGGTCAAGATATGTGACTGATAATATGAATTCAGAATTGCAACAAGCTCTCATTACAACTTAGCTACATAGGCTTTAAAAAAATGCTTGTAACCCACTCAACAAGTAAACACCATGTCGACTTTAAGCCATATTGTTTTCGATGGTTAGTAAGACCACCCGGTTACTTGAATTGAAGTGGTTAGGATGGCATTGGGACGAGTAACATACTCGCTGAAAGTTAAGTGCTATAACCAAATCATTTCCATGAATGTGTTCAATTTAACACCGAGAAGAACTATGGCAATAACAGCTATTTTGAGCTACATTTGATGATGAGTCATATAATTTCCAGGACTACTCAAGGAACTGTTGGACAGTAAACTAATACTACAATCATTCACTTTAAGGTGCTGCATTGCAAACTATCTTTACAGGTAAGCTCCACTAAACACTATGCTGTTTGGACGCCAATGCAATAACATAGTTCTCATACATAAGCAGTCAAAACTTGTGGGTGCAGTGAATTTATAATATTTTAAAAAATAATAAATAGATACTTTTTGATCAATTAATTCTCACTGGGACTGAGCATTTAAACATAACAACACACAGGGTCTTAGTGAAGACCTATTATGATTTATTAACTAGTCAACTCAGCCATCAAAGTTATATGGCTTTGACACATTATTATTATTATTATTATTATTATTATTTTAACACATAGATATCGGTACAAGGAGGCAACAAATACATATGCGCCACACAGATCTCATTGGATATGTGTGAGGGCTGTGATACTGCCCGGGTGCCCAGACCGAAGCAGGTGGTTTTCTTGGGGGCCACGCCCCGAGCCTTTGACCTAAAGGTCTAACCCACAAGGCAGTGGAGCATCGTGAGGAGATGCAGTCCCATGGAAGCCGGTGACCAAGAAACTGGTTCATACGCCATTTGTTCCCCCAATATACTGGAGCCCATGTGCACCATTGATTTGGGATCCGGTTAAAGCGCCGGTCATTCACTTTTCGTCCTCTCCTTTTGTAAACAACACCTGCGCCACGAGAAGGCAGTGAGTAGGACTTCCTTGGCAGAGGCTGTAAACGCGTGGCCATGTGAGAGCATTTCGAAAGGGAGAACGGACTCTCCCCACTCTCGGCTGTACCAGGGCATTTGGGGGCGCTTTGAAACATATATAACTGGCGTACTTTAAACGGACAAACAACTTTGTTACAGTATTGGAAAGACATCTGAGGTGAGGGTTCAAATTCTTACTTAAAAATGTCTTTGATCTGATATCAATCAGTGGAAAAGTTATACACAGCGTCCATGAGCATCATTCAATGTGTGCGAGCCGGAATACTGGCAGGATGCCCAAACGAAGAAGATATTGGGGGGTCACTCCTCGAGCCTTTACTTGAAAGTCTAATCCACAAAGCAGTGAAGCAATGTAATGAGATGAAGTTTCATGACAGCCGGAGACCATCAACAGGCCCTTTAGGATGCTGAAGTCCATGTGCATCATTGGTTTGGAATTAGGGTTTTCCAACTCCTCTAGGTGGATTTTCCGTGTCCACCAACCCGGTTAAAACGGCGGACATTCACTTTTCGTCCTCTCAATTTCGTAAAAGACACTCCCGTCACGAGAACTCAGTGAGTAGGAGTTCCGTGGGTGTGGCTGTATACATGTGGTCATGTGAAAGTATTTTGCGAGGGAGAGCTGACTCTCCCTACCCTCTGCCGAACCAGAGCATTTGGGTGCAACAATAACGAATAGTTATACTTTATTCAAGTTAATTTTTTAAACTCCCATAGTAAATAATATTAGGTTGGTCTGAAAGTAAACACTTAAACACACATAAAAAAAATATTGGTGACCGCATACATGGGAAATATTGTTCTTCATGTTAATTTACTGTTTAAGTAATCTGGATAATTTGGCAAATTTCAATGTTACTTATAAATAGAGAGTATGTGGATGTCGACAGAAATCATTGAAATTGGAGGTCTCAATGCATGGGTGTTTCGTAACCAAAGATGAACGCCTTATAAATATAACTTCAAATAAGTAAGACTTAGTGAAGATTTAAAACTTTACTGATCATAAAGTTTGTGTAATTAAACTTCATAAATTTAATAACAAAATTACTATACCAAAAAATTGGACAGGAACATTTTTTTCTGGACAATAGAAATTCTAAATTTTACTGAGTGTTTCTCAAAAACATTTGGAACTATTCGTAAAGCATCGTTAAAATTTTCAATTACCTCTGTATAAATTTGGAAATATGTGGTATGCAAGTGTTAATATGTTCACCTATAGGTTTGCGTCCAGTTAGCAGTACTCCGTCTCTTAGTGAGAAAATCGGGAAGAGAATAAACAGAAAGACAAAAGACTAGCAACTCTAAAAACAACGCTTGTTGCTCTTCTAGAGCTATTGCTCGTCCCAAGCACGGGGAAGAGAGGAGGGCTGTGTATGGGGCCAGCAACCCCACCCCGTAGAAAACAAACTTGCAAAAAAAACGCTAACCGAACTATTAAACCATTTAAATTCCGCCTTCCTAGTTCAAGGGTCACCATTCAGAAAAATTGTGACGGCTCATGATGAAAGTTGAGATCTTTTGAAAGTCACGGGGCTGATGCCCCTTCTAACAACCATAGCAACAATTTTTATAATTAAATGGAATGTCAGGATAATGTGGGACACCATGATGACCAGTCAAATAGCAACGGTGCTCGGAATCAGCAAAAATATGTGGAAAACCTAGTAACAACAGTAGATAAAGTTGTAAGTGAAGGAAATGTGAAACAGATATATGGTACAGCGAAGAAACTAGCTAGGGAATTATAGTAAACCAGAGAGACTGGTCAAGGACAAAGAAGTAAGCCAATCCGAGATTCAGGGACAGAGTAACCGGTAGGTGAAATACTTCTAGGGACCCTTGTATAGACCGATCTCATTGAACCCAACGGACATCGAAGTACCTACAGACCTTCCCATAGCCGTCACTCCACCAACGACCGAAGAAATCAGGATGGCTATCGGACAAGTCAAGAGTGAGAAAGCAGCAGGTCCAGACAATATACCAACCGAAACACTTAAGTCAGACAGAAGTAACTGCAAAGAAGCTCCGCATTTTATTCAGGAAGATTTGGGAGAAAGAACAAGTTCCGACGGACTGGAAAGAAGAATATCTCATCAAGATTCCTGAGAAAGATCTAGGCAAATATGAAAAATATAGAGGTATTACACTACTATCTTTACCAGTAAAATGTTTCAACAGTGTCACTAAATCGAATGAAACGTTCAACGGACGTCCAACTTCGAGGTCAACAGGCTGGATTTCGTAAGGATCAGTCGTGCACAGACCAAATCGCGATACTACGGATCGTCGTTGAGCAATCAATGTAATGAAACTCGTCACCATACACGAACTTCCTTGACTATGAGAAGGCGTTCGAAAGTGTGGATAAGATGACACTATGGAACCCCCGACATTATGGAGTGAGTATCTGAGAAAATTGTCAACATCATATGGATTTCATATGACGGACTATACTGCAAAGTCATGCATGGAGGACAGCTGATGGATGCATTCCAAGTAAGGACCGGAGTCAGACAAGGCTGTATACTCTCCCCCTTCCTCTTTCTTCTGGTTGTTGACTGGATTATGAAGACCTCGACATCTGAGGGATAGCACGGAATGCAATGGACAGCTCAGAACCAACTAGACGATTTGGACTTCGCAGATGACATAGCATTCCTAACTCATTCACGCGAACAAATAAAGATGAAGAAAACTGGCGTGGCAACAGTCTCTGCATCAGTAGGCCTTGATATACCCATAGGAAAACGCAAGATCCTCAAATGCATCATGGAGAACACCAATCCAACCGCACTTGATGGCAAAACTCTGGAAAACGTGAAATCCTTCACGTATCTGAGAAGCATTATCGATGAACGAAGAAAGATCGGATGCAGATGTAAAGACAAAGATTGGTAAAGTAAGAACAACATTCCTGCATTTGAAAAGTATATGGAACTCAAAACATCTGTATGCAAGCCAATATCAAAGTCGGAATCTTCATTAGGAACTTCAAGACAGTTTTACTATACGGAGCTAAAACATGGCGAAATACTACAACCATCATCAAGAAGGTGCAAGTATTTATAAATAGTTGTCTACTCAATATACTCAACATCCCTTGGCCGGATACCATCATCAACAGTCTACTGTTGGAGAGAACAAACCAGCTTCCAGCTGAAGAGAAAATTAAGAAAAGACGATGGAAATGGATAGGACATACATTACGGAAATCACAAAACTGAATCACGAGGCAAGCTCTAACTTGGAATCCTGGGGGGAGCGGAAAAGAGGAAGGCCGAAGGACACACCATGTCGGGAAGCAAATATGAAAAGGGTGAATATCAACTGAAAGGATTGCCCAGAGCAGGATTGGATGGAGAGTGCAGGTGGGCGGTCTATGCACACTCCCACACTGATGGACCAGATGATATTCCGTCTAGCTTGCTAAAACGTGGAGGCGATTACATGTGTATTTTACTTCCCAAAGTATTTGTGATATCACTCTCTACGACGTGTTACCCTACTGCCCGGAAAACTTCACATATCATTCTTGAAATTAAGACAGCACCTGAAGAAAATGTTGAAAATAACTGGCCCATTATCATAGCCTCAGTGGTATCTAGAGCGATAAGAAATGTATTTAAGTCGGCAGTTGTTCAGCATCTACTTACTAATAATCTCATCTCGACCTCCCAAAATGGGTTCCTTGGGTCAATGTCATGAGATACATTCCTAGTAGGCTATCTGCATGACATAACTCTGAAACGAAGCAACGGACTCCTTGTAACAGTCCCATTCCTAGTCTTTAAGAAAGCTTTTGATAAGGTCCCTTACAAAAGGCTTCTTGTCAAAGTAGAGATCTTCGTAATCAACAACCTACTACATTCATCTTTTGCTTCATTTCTAACAGAACATAAACAAACCATGAAGTATAATGACTTTCTCATCACCTGGACTAATAACTAGTGGAATCATCCAATGGAAGTCTAGAATTCGAAGAACTTGCGTCCTCTATTATTTCTAAATCTAGATGGCTAATTGTTTTTATGATGAATATTTTATTACCAACAGAGGTTAAGCTTACCCTTTACAAAATATTTAAACGACACTCCCTTGAATATCGCTCTTTTATCTTCTCAAACACGAATACCACGGACAAAATAAGAGTAAAAGATGTCCAAAGAAGATTCACACGCCGACTGCTATGATGTGACTCCACTCTCAACTAAATAGGTAGATGTAAGCACCTTTCCTTAGAACCTTTATGGCTATGTCGGCTAAGAAGCAATCTAATGTTCCTCTACAAGGCAATATATGGACTCTCATTTCTAACTTCTTACACGACCATTATCCTTGACCCAGTCTACAGACTCAGAAACAACACATTTACACTACTTGCTGTAAAACACCGAATACTAATGCATTGTAAGTTCTTTAGGCTGCCGTATAGCTTATTATGAAAATGGTCACAAGTACCTGTCCGTAACTGTGACACTATCACCAAGTTCAGAAGACTGAAAGCGATGTTACTTGACTCCGAAGAGCTTCACCAACTATTCCATAGACTTTCGCACACCGATGAGGCACTTTATTATGAACCGCCTAACATCTAGACCAATCATGTATATAACGGACCCCAATTGTCCTTGCTATGGATATAGTCAAATGATAGGACATATGGTTTACCCTCTCCCATTATTCATTGATTATTAGTCATGCCATCATGCTCCTACTCGTCAATTTCGGATTCCGGTTCTCTCTAATGGCTAAAATAGTATTATTTTTCCTAAATGTCATGTCCTTTTATTCTATTACAAGTAGAAAGATAACTCACTAATCTCATTGATGCTGATCAAACATGGCCGACCATAAGAATCTCATAATGTCCTGAGTTCTTGCGAGCCACCCAATGGTTTTTTCTTACTCTTAAAATTTTACAATTCTAAACTCCTGCATATTATTTGGTTTGTTATCCATCCTTACCATCTTTAGACCACATATAATTTGACCAGTGTCTTATATCTTATACCACTAGTTATTTTCGTAGCAGTACGATATACTAAATGGATATCTAACTCACAATACAGAATTTCAATCATTTGATTTGCTTGCAACATGAAACTAGCAGAGACAGTGTACTCAAACAAGAAACGTAGATTAAGGCAATACATTGCTTGCTATGATAGATCATGTTCCTCCATTTCATTTATTTCATAGTTTTGGTGCCGTAGTTGATGTCTCACTTGATCAAAGCATGCTCATTTATACTATCTTTTTATTGTCAATTTTGTTTTGCTTGAAAGCAGTGAAACCGTTTTTGGTTTTTCAAAGTATGATGGTAGTGCGTTATTTGTTTTGTAGGTTTATGAGTTCTACTTTTCATAAGGGTTCAATTTGCCATTTCAAAGCTTGAGTTATGTTTTCATTACTATCAAGTGATTAACGTCATAAAAGCACTACCTTCGTACTTTCGCATGAGACATTGTCCTCATTCATTTTTTTGTTTTTTATTTTTGGTTCTGGTCCAACTTTGGGTCTCAAAAGATATTTTAACTATGATGGAGCTTACTCAAGCCAGGTCACAATGAACGATGAGCCATCTAGCATCTAAACTTGTGAACAAATGACTTATTGTTACTTACTGGCTATTTCACAAATCTCAGATATTCAACCCAAACTAGTCATTGTGGTTTCAATTTTTACGCGTCGCGGTTTCAACACCGTGTTTTAATATTTGCATTTTGTTATATACTTCGTATTTCCTTATTATAAATACTAAATATCCATGTCTCTTGCGTTTTCTTATGATTCACACAACTGTCTATGGTGTTGCACATACTGGGCCTTAGAAATACCATGAACCACGACCCAATGAATTATCCTTACCTCTCCCAACGACTAGTACACCTTTTAACCGAGGATCATTGGCTAATTATGAAGAATCATTCACAAACAATAGTTTTATGAACATTGAACTAAATAACTTTTCACTGACTAGTTCGTAGACAGATAGCTCACTAACCCAATGAGTAGTGACCAACTATTGTCGGTTATAGGAAACTCACAATATCTTAAATATTTGTGAGTTCTTATTTCATGTTATAAAAGTTTAATTTTTTTAAAAGAATTATTACTAGCATTCAAGTATTGTGTTTTTCTGCTTAGTTATCCCCTTACTCCGAAATTTTGCAACCATAGACCCTTCTTTCATAATCTTCCATCTGCTACCTGTCATTACCTCTAAACAACATACCATCTGACTAATATATCATAACTTACATCATTAGTTAGCTTCATAGCGGTGTGATATACAAAATGGATGTCCAACCCACAATGCAAAGGCTTAGGCTGTCTGGTTCGCTTGTAACATAGAACTAGTGGAGACAGTGTACTCAACCTAGGTGTGCAACATGGCGCTTAGATTAGAGAAATATTCATACATACCACAAACGTAAGAAAGCCTGACATCACAAAAAAGGGGATGGCGTTACTGACCAGTAGACATGATAGTGGAGAGATAACTTCACTCTGTCCGTATCTTTAGGACAAGACATTTTGTTAGGTTATGCTCCTTGTGGTCCAGTGGGATGTCATAAACCAATAGTATTGATGATAAATTATTATACCATATACCTCTTTGACTCATTTCTGTAAGCTTGAATTGCTTTTCCTCCCTATCGAATGATCCTATTGTAAACAAAACTGGATAATTACACCAATTAGAAGCCCAC